TATATATACACATATATTTACATTTACGTTTCTTAATAATTCCTGTTTATTTAACTATATATTTGTAAATACTATTGTTTAAATTTCTTATATTTTCACGTATCTTTCATCTCTTGCAAGGAGCACCTATAACATAAATAATTTCCCCTCGGGGATCAATAAAGTATTTCTGATTCTGATTCTGATTCTGATTGCATTGTGTGTGTCACAGTGTGTGTGGTACTTGTTGAGACTGGGGAACAGATCCATGAAGATGTTCTTCAGATCTTCTCTCAGCACCGAGCTGCTCCCGTCCTGCAGGAGGAGAAACAACATCATCAGCCTCCACAAAGCTGGCTGTGACTGGCCAGAGAGTGATGACATCACACTCAAGTATCAGGTGCTCACCTTGTCGTAAAAGTCAAACTTCTTCCGAGCGAGTGAGATCTGTCTCTGAGACGGTTCCTGTGAGACATTACGGAGATGAGAAGCTTCATGAGGACAGGAGGTCATACAAACTAAAATACAAAGTGTTTCAGATTAGGACATTCAGAAACACCACAGACACCAAAATACTACAACCTGAAGGTGAGAAAGTTTGAAGGTTTGGAGGTGTGGAGGTTTGGAGGTGTGGAGGTTTGGAGGTTTGGAGGTATGGAGGTTCAGGGCTCGACAGTGCGAGCGTTTCACTTGCATTTGCGACTAAAAATAGGTGTGTGCGAACTATAAAAAATATTTAGGGGCACATGTGCGCATAAAAAAATCAGCCGAAGCAGCCTATATTTTTGTCACTAAAAAAATAAGATAATCTAACCGCAAATCCCAAGTTGAATTTCCCCTCAGGGGATTAATAAAGTTAAATAAAAAAAATAAAATAAAAAAAATGTTGGAGGAACTCCAGCCGCCTTCCCTCTTCCCCGTGTGACACGGTTATGGGCGGTTTTCCAAGCCACTGTCGGCACAATGAATATCGTGCGTGACGCCAAAGGTAGCGGTGCCGCTTTGTCAGGCGTTGCTGTCCCCTCCATAGACAAACAATGAGACAGCCAGCAAAAAGCAGTTTTACAGCTGATCATGTGTAGAGGCCTTTAGGGACCGTTCGCCACGGTACCGCTGCTGGGCAGGGTGGAAATAAAGCCCTTTTCACACAGAGCGCGCAAAGCGCAGACCTCCACTGACGAACCCATTCATCGTGTATGTGCTACCGCGGCACAATGCCGAGCGTTGCGAGCGAGGTTTAAAGGTTTGAAGGTTTGGATGTTTGAAGGTCTAAAGATTTGGATGTTTGAAGGTTTAAAGGTTTGGAGGTTTGAAGATCTGGAGGTTTAAAGGTTTGAAGATTTGAAGATCTAGAGGTGTGAAGGTTTGGATGTTTGGAGGTTTGAAGGTTTGGAGGTTTGGAAGTTTGGATGTTTGAAGGTTTGAAGGTTTGAAGGTTTGGAGGTTTGAAGGTGAGAAAGTTTGAAGGTTTGGAGGTTTGAAGGTGAGAAAGTTTGAAGGTTTGGAGGTGTGAAGGTGAGAAAGTTTGAAGGTTTGGAGGTGTGAAGGTTTGGAGATCTGAAAGTGAGAAAGTTTGAAGGTTTGAAGGTTTGGAGGTTTGAAGGTGAGAAAGTTTGAAGGTTTGGAGGTTTGAAGGTGAGAAAGTTTGAAGGTTTGGAGGTTTGAAGGTGAGAAAGTTTGAAGGTTTGGAGGTTTGAAGGTGAGAAAGTTTGAAGGTTTGGAGGTTTGAAGGTGAGAAAGTTTGAAGGTTTGGAGGTTTGAAGGTGAGAAAGTTTGAAGGTTTGGAGGTTTGAAGGTGAGAAAGTTTGAAGGTTTGGAGGTTTGAAGGTGAGAAAGTTTGAAGGTTTGGAGGTTTGAAGGTGAGAAAGTTTGAAGGTTTGGAGGTTTGAAGGTGAGAAAGTTTGAAGGTTTGGAGGTGTGAAGGTGAGAAAGTTTGAAGGTTTGGAGGTGTGAAGGTTTGGAGATCTGAAAGTGAGAAAGTTTGAAGGTTCGATGGTTTGGAGGTTTGAAGGTGAGACAGTTTGAAGGTTTGGAGGTTTGAAGGTGAGAAAGTTTGAAGGTTTGGAGGTTTGAAGGTGAGAAAGTTTGAAGGTTTGGAGGTTTGAAGGTGAGAAAGTTTGAAGGTTTGGAGGTTTGAAGGTGAGAAAGTTTGAAGGTTTGGAGGTTTGAAGGTGAGAAAGTTTGAAGGTTTGGAGGTTTGAAGGTGAGAAAGTTTGAAGGTTTGGAGGTTTGAAGGTGAGAAAGTTTGAAGGTTTGGAGGTTTGAAGGTGAGAAAGTTTGAAGGTTTGGAGGTTTGAAGGTGAGAAAGTTTGAAGGTTTGGAGGTTTGAAGGTGAGAAAGTTTGAAGGTTTGGAGGTTTGAAGGTGAGAAAGTTTGAAGGTTTGGAGGTGTGAAGGTGAGAAAGTTTGAAGGTTTGGAGGTGTGAAGGTTTGGAGATCTGAAAGTGAGAAAGTTTGAAGGTTCGATGGTTTGGAGGTTTGAAGGTGAGACAGTTTGAAGGTTTGGAGGTTTGAAGGTGAGAAAGTTTGAAGGTTTGGAGGTTTGAAGGTGAGAAAGTTTGAAGGTTTGGAGGTTTGAAGGTGAGAAAGTTTGAAGGTTTGGAGGTTTGAAGGTGAGAAAGTTTGAAGGTTTGGAGGTTTGAAGGTGAGAAAGTTTGAAGGTTTGGAGGTTTGAAGGTGAGAAAGTTTGAAGGTTTGGAGGTTTGAAGGTGAGAAAGTTTGAAGGTTTGGAGGTTTGAAGGTGAGAAAGTTTGAAGGTTTGGAGGTTTGAAGGTGAGAAAGTTTGAAGGTTTGGAGGTTTGAAGGTGAGAAAGTTTGAAGGTTTGGAGGTTTGAAGGTGAGAAAGTTTGAAGGTTTGGAGGTGTGAAGGTTTGGAGATCTGAAAGTGAGAAAGTTTGAAGGTTCGATGGTTTGGAGGTTTGAAGGTGAGACAGTTTGAAGGTTTGGAGGTTTGAAGGTGAGAAAGTTTGAAGGTTTGGAGGTTTGAAGGTGAGAAAGTTTGAAGGTTTGGAGGTTTGAAGGTGAGAAAGTTTGAAGGTTTGGAGGTGTGAAGGTTTGGAGATCTGAAAGTGAGAAAGTTTGAAGGTTTGAAGGTTTGGAGGTTTGAAGGTGAGAAAGTTTGAAGGTTTGGAGGTTTGAAGGTGAGAAAGTTTGAAGGTTTGGAGGTTTGAAGGTGAGAAAGTTTGAAGGTTTGGAGGTTTGAAGGTGAGAAAGTTTGAAGGTTTGGAGGTTTGAAGGTGAGAAAGTTTGAAGGTTTGGAGGTTTGAAGGTGAGAAAGTTTGAAGGTTTGGAGGTTTGAAGGTGAGAAAGTTTGAAGGTTTGGAGGTTTGAAGGTGAGAAAGTTTGAAGGTTTGGAGGTTTGAAGGTGAGAAAGTTTGAAGGTTTGGAGGTTTGAAGGTGAGAAAGTTTGAAGGTTTGGAGGTTTGAAGGTGAGAAAGTTTGAAGGTTTGGAGGTGTGAAGGTTTGGAGATCTGAAAGTGAGAAAGTTTGAAGGTTCGATGGTTTGGAGGTTTGAAGGTGAGACAGTTTGAAGGTTTGGAGGTTTGAAGGTGAGAAAGTTTGAAGGTTTGGAGGTGTGAAGGTGAGAAAGTTTGAAGGTTTGGAGGTTTGAAGGTGAGAAAGTTTGAAGGTTTGGAGGTGTGAAGGTTTGGAGATCTGAAAGTGAGAAAGTTTGAAGGTTCGATGGTTTGGAGGTTTGAAGGTGAGACAGTTTGAAGGTTTGGAGGTTTGAAGGTGAGAAAGTTTGAAGGTTTGGAGGTGTGAAGGTGAGAAAGTTTGAAGGTTTGGAGGTTTGAAGGTGAGAAAGTTTGAAGGTTTGGAGGTGTGAAGGTTTGGAGATCTGAAAGTGAGAAAGTTTGAAGGTTCGATGGTTTGGAGGTTTGAAGGTGAGACAGTTTGAAGGTTTGGAGGTTTGAAGGTGAGAAAGTTTGAAGGTTTGGAGGTGTGAAGGTGAGAAAGTTTGAAGGTTTGGAGGTTTGAAGGTGAGAAAGTTTGAAGGTTTGGAGGTGTGAAGGTTTGGAGATCTGAAAGTGAGAAAGTTTGAAGGTTCGATGGTTTGGAGGTTTGAAGGTGAGACAGTTTGAAGGTTTGGAGGTTTGAAGGTGAGAAAGTTTGAAGGTTTGGAGGTGTGAAGGTGAGAAAGTTTGAAGGTTTGATGGTTTGATGGTTTGGAGTCAAAGATCCTGAGTCCTGCTGTCTCACAGAGAAACAATAAACGTCAACCTACTGAGTCAACATTCACAGTCTGCTGATGACCACTTTATCTCAGGAAATCATGTCTGTATTATTGATGTATTATAAAGTGACCACAGCTCACACACACACACACACACACACGCAGCTCTGTTTTCAGGATCAGTTCTACTGAACTTTCTTGTGTTCATTAGTCAGACTTCCTGTGATCAGCTGCTCCTCTGCTGTATTAATACACAGATTTATAAAGTACAGCCTGAGGTGGAAATATTTACTGCAGCTGTTCACACGTTCACTGAGAACAGGTTCAGATCATATTTCAATATATCACTGCAGCAGGCAGACGACAGTGTGAGTACCCGCAGCTTCTACAGAAACCAGGACACACACAGATCAACAGGAAACCAGAGCTGCACCTCTTCCTCCTCTGACCCAGATCACAACACACACACACACACACACAGTGTCAGCTCACCTTCAGGATGTTTCCACTTCTGTCTCCCTGTTCACAGAACCAGACGCCACAGACAACAGAATCAGGGTCAGAGTCAGGTTTATGTTCAGGTTTATGTTCAGGTTCAGACAGATCTGATCCTGGTTCGGCCAATCACTACCACTAATTAAGTTTTTTGCACTTTACACAAAATATGTGATGAGGTCAGTTTTGTTCTACACGACAGAGATCATGAACCAGATTAGTGGAGAGGAGCGCCGTCAAGGTTTTAAGATGTTCATGAGTCTCATGTCATCAGATCTGTCTTCACAGAGCTGCGTCAGAAACATCTGGAGTCACTCATTATCTTTCTGCTGTAAAGCAAAAAAATGCTCTGACATGTTTGCGTTTCTGTGAACCAATCACAGTCGCCCTGGGCGGAACGAAGTCCAGCGTTGGGGTGGAAGTTGTTCTGGTGGAACATCTGTACGTGAGGAGATGCACTCTGTCTTTAAAATGGCTCCACTGTAGAAACATCCCAGACACATGAACAGAGGTCTCCAGTCTCACTGAGTCAGACTGTTCATTCACACACACGACGCGCGACGCTCCACCATCACAACTCATCTCTGCATGCTGGCGTCCGTTTACACCTCAGCTCTACGTCACATTTCACTGCTCTGATTGGTCGCAGGTCTATCCAATCATATCAAGACGCCATCTGATAACTCCTGCTGAACATCACAGACTGAGCAGCTGAGAGGTTCAAAGTAAAAGGTGTGTGACGGCTGAAGGACGAAGAGGCAGGACTGACCAGACTCTGTCATGTTCATCTGATCACAACATGTTGGTCTCATGTTGGAGCTGATACATCAGTCATGTTATCCCTGAATCACCTGACTGATGATCATGTTAATATTCATACAGCATTAAACACTCTGTCCTGATGTACAGAACCTGTGTGACCACTGGCTGCTTCTACAGGTGTGGAGGCAGGTGGTGCCTGATATTGCTCAGTGACATCACCTGCACCCTATGTGATCCTGTCGTCACTGTTTTTAAGTATGTACTCAGCCTAAAACGTTGCCTGAGGGTGCAGCTGTCACGCCCTGAAAACAGACACTCTGGAACGCTCACACGCTGAGACAGCTTTGCTCTCACTTTTAAGCACGCTTTCTGGGCGTCTACATAAATAACCAATAGACTGGAGGGCACAGAAACACGACGTGTACAGGTGACATACATATACTGACTTTGATCCCAGCAGCGCCTGGTGGCTGTCAGACGACCTGCAGCTGAACTCTGACAGCTGATTGGCTGATGATGTGAATGTTTGTCTCACCTCAGTCAGTTTGTGGCGTCCTCTCCTGACCAGCTCCAGCAGCAGAGGAGACTTCCTGTTGACCTCCGACTCTGACAGACCCAGATCTCTGCAGACCAGCTCCCGACTGTCCACGCCGTTCAGCTGCACACCAACAAGACAATCATCATCACTGTGTGAGTCCCATTTAACTCGTTAACTACAAGTCACACAGTCCATCAACATCCAGTCACCATTCCTTTGTTTTTACATTATCATCTAGAGATGGGTGATCTTGTCCATATCCTATCGTCCTATCGCCATCAAGTGAAATCGCCAATCTGTCATCGCCCGGGGGGGGCGTCATCGCCCGGGGGGGGCGTCGCCGATGAAACGTTCACTTATAGCCTCTCTTTGGCATTTGAGCAGCTTTATAAAACTCTTGAACATGTAATGGCTCCTTAATTAGCAAGTTGACTTTACATAGACGGCATATCTTTTCAATTTCTCCTGACACTGTGTTGTTTGGTTTGTTCACCGCTCCGTGACATGCGCGTTAAGGCCTGAACATACTCGGGCGGAACATACGCGGAACGGACTCCGCGGAGGTCCGCGCGGACTCAAAGCGGACGTCTGCAAGGCCTGTGCGCGCAAAGCTCAAATTTTACGACCGCGCGGACTCCGCGCACCAGTGACTGCTCGGCATGTAATTTTCACATCACGGGGATTTTTCACGGACATTTTTACAGGAAACTACAACGCGGAAGTGCGCTCGACTATGGAAGCCCGAATGACTGCGGACATTCCTCGCGGAGTCCGTTCCGCGTATGTTCCGCCTTAAAGGCCTGAACATACTCGGTTGTTGACTAGAGATGATACACCGTCTCATGGTGGTCACTTCCTGTCAACGTTACAGATCAGAAGCACAGAGAGTTGTTGACTAGAGATGATACACCGTCTCATGGTGGTCACTTCCTGTCAACGTTACAGATCAGAAGCACAGAGAGTTGTTGACTAGAGATGATACGCCGTCTCACGGTGGTCACTTCCTGTCAGCGTTACAGATCAGAAGCACAGAGAGTTGTTGACTAGAGATGATACGCCGTCTCATGGTGGTCACTTCCTGTCAACGTTACAGATCAGAAGCACAGAGAGTTGTTGACTAGAGATGATACGCCGTCTCATGGTGGTCACTTCCTGTCAACGTTACAGATCAGAAGCACAGAGAGTTGTTGACTAGAGATGATACGCCGTCTCATGGTGGTCACTTCCTGTCAACGTTACAGATCAGAAGCACAGAGAGTTGTTGACTAGAGATGATACGCCGTCTCATGGTGGTCACTTCCTGTCAACGTTACAGATCAGAAGCACAGAGAGTTGTTGACTAGAGATGATACGCCGTCTCATGGTGGTCACTTCCTGTCAACGTTACAGATCAGAAGCACAGAGAGTTGTTGACTAGAGATGATACGCCGTCTCATGGTGGTCACTTCCTGTCAACGTTACAGATCAGAAGCACAGAGAGTTGTTGACTAGAGATGATACGCCGTCTCATGGTGGTCACTTCCTGTCAACGTTACAGATCAGAAGCACAGAGAGTTGTTGACTAGAGATGATACGCCGTCTCATGGTGGTCACTTCCTGTCAACGTTACAGATCAGAAGCACAGAGAGTTGTTGACTAGAGATGATACGCCGTCTCATGGTGGTCACTTCCTGTCAACGTTACAGATCAGAAGCACAGAGAGTTGTTGACTAGAGATGATACGCCGTCTCATGGCGGTCACTTCCTGTCAACGTTACAGATCAGAAGCACAGAGAGCCGTTGACTAGAGATGATACGCCGTCTCACGGTGGTCACTTCCTGTCAACGTTACAGATCAGAAGTACAGAGAGTTGTTGACTAGAGATGAATACACCGTCTCATGGTGGTCACTTCCTGTCAACGTTACAGATCAGAAGTACAGAGAGTTGTTGACTAGAGATGATATGCCGTCTCATGGTGGTCACTTCCTGTCAACGTTACAGGTCAGAAGTTGACTAGAGATGATACGCCGTCTCATGGCGGTCACTTCCTGTCAACGTTACAGATCAGAAGCACAGAGAGTTGTTGACTAGAGATGATACGCCGTCTCATGGCGGTCACTTCCTGTCAGCGTTACAGATCAGAAGTACAGAGAGTTGTTGACTAGAGATGAATACACCGTCTCATGGTGGTCACTTCCTGTCAACACGCAGCTTTTTACAACATTACAGAACGGAGCGTTGACAGTAGTTGTTTGTTAAAACTCGTCTCGTAATGAATCTTTGATCTGAACTGGATTTTAAGGTCAGAGGATGCTGACCCACTGATGCCAAGTTCACACTGAATGCTGAAGCACCCTGATGTGTTCACTGTCACGCAGCCATCTATCAGCGGTCACCTGGACGTTCACACCTGAAGCACATTTCTCCACACGGGTCAAATCAATACATTACAGTATCACCATATTTTGGCATGGCGATATCGAATCCATACACAGACGCCAAGTATTGATTATTTTAATTATACAAATTTGACAAATTTATACGAATTTGAAGTTCTAGTGACCTGCCAGAGACAATGGTGACAGCTTTCAGAGACTCAAACATTTTTTTAATCTCATATGGCCACAGTTTAATATTAAATAATTTAAAGACAATATTTATCAGTGGTGTTGATGTGGAGCTCCTCTGTGGTCACATGACCCTGTGGTCACATGTTCAGACTCAGATATTTTAAACATGTTGTGTGATCAACAGATTAAACCTCAGTGATGGTAAAAGTATTACAGTACGATGATGATGTCTCAGTGATGTGTGGTTACTGATGTGAGACATGAAACTGTGATGAATGACAGGAGGACACGTGTCCTGAAGGAGTGAACACACAGCAACAGCCACAGACCACACAGAGTCACACTGTGGTCACATGACCTCTCACCCAGTTTATCTCCGGCTGGAACACGGCGAGGCTGAAGTCCAGGTTAAACACCTGCAGGAAGTCCATGATCAGACTGGCCACAAGGCGTCCTGTAGGGGGACGGGGGGACAGACAGTCAGAGGACACCTGAACACACCGTCAGAGACAACACGAGTCAGAGAGGACACCTGAACACACCGTCAGAGACAACACGAGTCAGAGAGGACACCTGAACACATCATCTCTCAGTGACAGGACACAGTCAGAGGACTCCTGCTGTTCAGACTGAGGACAGACTGAGTAAAATAATAATGTCCCCTGTCTTCTGTCTGTCTCAGAAACAGCAGTCAGGTTCAACAGGTGCTGAAACAACGACTCACAGAACCATTTGAATATTTAACACTGTCAGGACTCAGACTGTTCAGGTCCTCTATGAGGCTCACAGCGCCCCCTGTGGTGACAAACACCAACTACAGCACCTCATACTGACAGTACTATAAGGATTCAGTCTGCTTCCTCAGGTCCTCTCTGACCCTGCTGAACATCCACAGCGCCCCCCTGTGGTCTAACACAGCAACTACAATAACTCAACTCCAGGGCATGAACACGTGCACACGTCCAGCTGCTCTGAGCCACAGCATCACAACATACAGACGAGTCGACATGGGACTGTTCACTCACAGAGACACCAGCTGAACAACAAGAGGAGTTGAAGGTCAGAGGTCAAAAGATCAGACCCTGAGAGAGAACAGAGACTCACCGTCTTTAGTGTTGAGACATTTCTTCAGGTTTTCATTGATCAGAGGAATTTTATTCTGAAACACACACACAGTCTGTAGATCAGCTGCAGTCACAGATTAATATAACATGACAATATGTTCTGTTAATGATTAATGATGTCTGATCAAACTATGTTCTGTTAATGATGTCTGAACTATATTCTGTCCCTCCATCTTCTGTTGAGGACAAACCCAAATATTTGTAACTGGATGGAGTTTCTATAGAAACCAGGAAGTGAACAGAGAAGATGAAGAACCTGGTTCCTCTGTGTGAACACCTCATCCTGGATCTGACCTGAGACAAGACTCATTAACAGGTTACTCATGTCCATCTGATGGTCCTCAGTGAGACATGAGGACAGACAACAGGAGCTGAAGACATGAGGACAGACAACAGGAGCTGAAGACACAAGGACAGACATGAGGACAGACAACAGGAGCTGAAGACATGAGGACAGACAACAGGAGCTCAAGACATGAGGACAGACAACAGGAGCTGAAGACATGAAGACAGACAACAGGAGCTGAAGACATGAGGACAGACAACAGGA